CAGCTCCGGGTCTGCTACGATGTTCAGGTCCCCGAGGAAAACGGTGTGCAGAGAAACTCCTAAGCTCTGTACGAAGGGTGTTAGTGCCTCTCGGTAAAAAGTCCCCCTAACTGTCGCCTGCGCAGGTAAGTAAGCTGCTACCACTCTGCACCGCAGATCACGCCATGTTACGAGCAGGCTCAGAAGCCGGCCTGACTCATGCTTAACAACCTCCGTGAACCGTACCCCTGGCAGGAAACCCAAGACAGCCACTCCCCCTGCCCTCTGTGCCGGCCCGACCACCACTTGGGCTTCAGATCTAACTTGTGTCCAGAAATTATGGTCGGATGGAACGCGCGTGTCAGTGAGTACCACAATGTCCGCTGCTTTCTTGATCCATTTACCGCATCGTTCTTGTTTCCCACTGCTACCGAGCCCGTTGATGTTGAGCTCGAGAATTTTGAGGTTGTTGTGTTTATTCATTAAACCACTCCTTTGAGCCCCACAGCATCCACGGGCGATTGAGCTTTATTGCGACGAGACAACCAGCTACAGCGAAAGAGAACATGGCACCAACTACACAGCCTGCTCCCAAGATCCACCTTGCGGCTTCTTCCATTCCCTTCCCAGCGCTGTTATCCTCCAGACCGCTGTTTACTTTGCCACCGGTTTGACCATGAAATCCTTCTTGAAGGCTGCCATCTTCTGAGAGTGCTTGCTGGCGCGTGTTGCTGCTCCTTCCGTACGTAGTCCCCCTTTGTGCCTGGCAGATGCTACATGAGCCGCTGCTTGTTCGAAATGGTTCCCCTGCGCCTTCTCGCATACGGTTTGCACACACACCCACTCCTCCCGCATTCCTCCTGTGGAGGTGAGTATAACGGCGGGGTCCTTCAGGATACGCTTCACGAGAGTGGAAGCTTTCAGAGATGCAGCTGCAGGGAGAGTCGAGTGAAAAGCCATCAGTACAGGGTAAGAGTAAAGAATCCAGCGGCAAAGAGCACAGCGGAAGAGGAAGAGGTGCGGAGCAGCTCGGCGTATACCGTTCATCTCATGAACCTTTTTAACCGACAGGTTCCAGTTGGTGAAGTTCTCCTGCCTTGTGGTGATATAGCGGTCATGATAGCGGGACAGGTGCGGACCGCTGCAAAGTTCGCAGGTGAGTGACGGGTAATGGAGCAAGTAGCGCTTCTTCGTCGTCGGGTCCTCCACGAAGTACCTCCAGCGGTACCAAGGATCAGAAAGCGGAAGGGGAAGCGGATGCTGCTGGCGACAACATCAACGACGACGAGGAGGATTTGTCAGATTCGGTCCCAGAGGATGAGGATGATGGATATCTAAGCGATGACTCGGACGAGCACCTTGAACCTGCTTCGCTTACCAGTGCTTTGGCTTTAAAACGCTTCACACTAACCTTGCTGGTGCCGATCTTCAGGAAAGCGGAAGTCAAACGCGCTGCGATAACGATTGTAGCTCTGCTGGATGACTGGAAGGATCAGTTGTCCCCGGATGTGCTGCAGACGACGACTTACCAGGATCTCACGGCAACATATCTCTCCGGCAATCGCTATGGTCGGCTGCAGGTCACCTTCAATCATGTCAGAGACGCCAACTACGTCTGGAATCAAGTCATCAAGCACGAATGCGTAAACGGGGACATCATCGACCTCACCTGGCAGTACCCGGAGGATGCTCACTTTCTTCGTGAACGTGTTTTGAACCCATTGGCGCAGGAGGTTGTCGTTAAAGGAGTGCCGGACGAGATCACTGCTGAACTTGTCCGTCATCTGCTGGTGGTGTCGAAGCTGGTTAAGCGTGGCAGGAGTTCCTTCGCCAGCGGTTTTGGTTTTCATCGTACGCTGGACCCGGTCACCGGACTTGACACCGACCGTATTCGCGGCCTGGTTGTCCCCCATGCCTCGAGCCTCTTGCAACGCGCCGCTGCTTCCACCGACAGGTCAGCATGCTATTTCGGCGTCAATGCAGCGTCGCTGCTGTTTACGTCATCAAAGCGACGTCGTCCCTGCAGTAGCCGTCGAAGCCGACAAAGCGAAGTCGTTGTTGTTCCTGCCGTCAAAACAACTTCAACTGCGGTTTCGGGCGTCCAAAAAAAATTTCGCCGTCGAAGCGACGGCGCTGCTCTTTTCGTCGTCAGGGCAACGTTTCTGCTACCGTATTTCCGTGGACAACGACGCAGAGACAACGACGAGATGAGAGCAATGACTACACCACCAGCAGCAGCATCAGCGACTAATCAACGGGAAGCAGCAGGATGCTGCTTGGGGCGATGGCGTGGCTTACAGCAAACGAGCAACCTGGAGCAACGACCGTCGGAGGCACGGTGGTCACGACGAGAGCAACGATCGAGCAGCCAGGCGTGACGCCTCGGGTGAAAGCGTGGCGCAGGAGCGACAGGCTGGCGACATGCACATGGTACGTGCTAAGGGATGCTTGCAGGGGGGAAGTGCCGTGAGTCCTAGTGCGTCGCCGCGCAGAGGCAATAGTCATGCCTCTTGACCTTGACTCCAACACTCGCGTCTTGCTGTTTCTAATCCTCCCTTGTCGTTTCTGTGTGGCTGTTTCTCTCCCCATGCGTGTGTGTGCCTCACGGCCTGCGAGACGGACGGGAATGGCAGCGAGTGGACGGAGAATGGGCAGGCTTCCGTTGCTGGCTCGCACGATTGACGACCGACCGAGCGAGGAGAAGCGGAACCGTGGCACAGCAGCAACCGAGCAACCAGGATCGGCGCGCCTCAAGTGAAAGCGTAGCGCAGGAGCAGCAGAGCGGCAAACGGATCACGTTACGTGCCAGGGGGTGCTTGCAGGGGGGAAGTGTAGTGAGTCGCCGCGCAGAGGCAAGAGTCGAGTCTCTTGCCCTTGCCTCCACCACTCCCCTCCTCTCCTGCTGATCCTAACCCTTCCTTTTGCGCCGCTTCTTGTGTGCGTTTTTTCTCTACCCATTCTTTTGTGTGCCTCACGGCCTGCGAGGTGGAGGGGAATGGCGCGGAGTGGACGATGACTGGCGCGGAGCGGACGCGGAGTGGCGCGGAGTGGGCGGGGCTTCCGTTGCTGGGCCGCACGTTCGACAAGCGTTGAGCGAGGGGAAGAAACATCAATGGAGCATTGGCGCGTCAACGGCAGAAACACGGCGGCGATCGCGACGAGAGCAACGACTGCAGCAGCAGCAGCAGCAACCGAGCAACCAGGAGCAGCACGCCTGGAGTGGCGCAGGAGCGGCAGATCGGTAGGCGGAGCATGGTACTCGCCAGGGGGTGCTTGCAGGGGGGGGTGAAGTGAGTCGTAGGGCGTCGCCGCGCAGAGGCAAGAGTCATGTCTCTTGTCGTTAGTCGCCACTCCCATTCTGCAGCTAACCAACCATTTCTTCGTGTCTCTGCTTCTGTGACGGCATGCATACATGTGTCTGTGAGTGCGTGCCTCATGGCCTCCAAGCCTGCGCGTGAGTGAGTCGCCGTGTGATGTGATGTGGTGCATCAGTGTGCGGCGTCAGTGCGTTTCAGGAGCGACAGAGCGTCAGTGCGTTTCGCGATGCGGTGGTGGTTGCAACGAGAGCAACGACAGCAGCAGCAACAACAACAGCAGCACCAACAACAGCAGCAAGCAATGAGCCACCTGGAGCACGAGCTGCGCCAGGGCGTTGCTTGGGGTGAAGGCGTGGCGCAGCAACAACCGCGCAGCACGCTTCAAGTGAAGGCGTGGTGAGGAGCAGCAGAGAGGCTGACGGATCATGGTACGTGCCAGGGTGTGCTTGCAGGGGGGCAGTGAAATGAGTCGTAAGGTGTCGCCGCGCAGAGGCAAGAGTCCTGTCTGATTTTCTTGCCTCAAGCTCTCGCCTCTTGCTGCTTCTAAACCTCCTTTGTTGCATCGTTTCTGTGTGGCTGACTCTCCCCATGTATGTGTGTGCCTCATGGTTAGCAGTGACGTACGGGGAATGCATGGGCTGCCGTTGCTGGTTCGCACTAGAGACAACCCGGAGCAGCACGCCTCAAGTGAAGGATCATGGTACATGGCCAGGGATGCTTGCAGGGGGGGTTGAATTGAGTCGTAGGGCGTCGCCGCGCAGAGGCAAGAGTCGTGTCTCCTGCCCCTGCCTCCGCCACTTGTTCGTCTGCTGTTGATACCTGCAGTAGGAAGGGTGTGTGTATCAACAGCAGTCGACAAGACGAGCAACCTGGAGAAGCACGCCTGGAGCCTGGAGCACGGGGCACAGCAGGGTGCTGGTTGGGGCGAAGGCGTGAGAAAGGAGCCGCAGGTTCTGCCAAGGAGGAGAAAACCCGTAGATGGAGCATGGTATGTGCTAAGGGATGCTTGCAGGGGGGGAGTGTAGTGAGTCCTAGAGCGTCGCCTCTTGACCTTGTCTCCACCACTCGCCTCTTGCTGCTTCTAACCCTCCCTCCCTTGTTGCATCGTTCCTGTGTGGCTGCCTCTCTCCCCGTGCATGTGTGTCTGTGCCTCACGGCCTGTGAGACGGACGGGAACGGCAGTGAGTGGACGGGGAATGGATGGGTCTGCCATTGCTGGCTGGCACGAGAGACAACCGTCCAGCGAGAGACAACCTGGAGTGTGTGGCACATTGCTCTTTGCACGGCTGCCTGTCTACCCGTTGGGTCTTCACAACAAGCTTCTTCTTTCCCAGTACAAGAGGTAACCGGGACAAATGTGCATCCTGCGTTATGTTCAAGTCTCTGTCCGTCCTCCAGATTCCATCTGCCATCTCCTCTGGTGTGACGTGTTCTCGTTTCTTTTCTCACGCCTCTCCTCCTTTTCCTTGCCATCCTTCCTCCTCTCGCTTCCAGCACTCAACAGGGCACTGGCTGCAACAACTCAGGGATCACCAGTGGCTGCAGCAAGTGCAGGATGATGGCGAGCAGTCAACAAGTTGTGAGTGGGTCATATTAAGTTGTATTCCACTTCTCCATTCACCTTTTCCTGCTCTCCCTTGTGCCGTTCTGTCTTGACTTCCATCTGTCCACGGTTCCCTTGTGTATTTGATTCTGTGCTGTCAGATGTTCATGCCACTCTGCTCAGCTATCAGTCCCCTCCTTTCCTACCCTCTCCTTTGTTACGAGACCTTTAATCACCACTCGCTTCTGGCATGTCAGAGCTCGTTCTCATCCTCAGAATCTCATCTACTCGCTTCGCCTCTCCCTGCTGGGCCTCTCCTGCTCTTCCTTGCCATCCTTCTTCCCCTCACCTCCACCACTCAGGGAAGCAGTGGCTGCAGCAACTCAGGGATCACCAGTGAGTGGTGAGTGGATCAGATGAAGAACTCTCCCACTTCTCCATTCACCTTGTCCTGCTTTCTCTTGTGCTGTTCTACCTTGTTTCCCATCCTTCCACGGTGCCCATGTGTCTTTGCTGTTGTGCTGCCAGGTGTGCATGCCACTCTGCTCAGCTCTCAGACCCCTCCTTTCCTGCCCTCTCTTCTACCTTGCTCTCCTCCCTTTCAGCATCACAAGGGCAAGTCCTTCTATCTAGCACCAGAAGGTGGCAGCGGTGGTTGGTAGGGGAACCAGCAGCAGTGGTGGTAGCGGTGGTTGCACCATTAATGGCCACTACAGTGGTTGCAGCTGCAGCAATGGACGGGTGATTACAGCTTACCCTAGTGCTTCGCATTTCTCTCGATTGTTTTTTGTTTCAACATCAGTTGCGTTCTTGACTAGGCTCCGATGTCTTACTGGTCTCCTCTAATCCGTCTCATGTTGTTCGTCCTCCCCTCTTTCTGTACCCTTTTATGATGGTGCCCTGGCCTCCCTCCGTTCTGCATGTCCAGTGGCTGTTTCTGGCAACACCAACCGGGAAGTAGTGGCAGAATCAGCAATGCTGCATATTCTTCATGGTAGGTGTGATGGAAGATTTTGCACAGGGAATTTGATGGCCTTGCTTACGTATGTCCCACTTAGTGCTTGCTACACCATGGCAATCTGACGTGATACACAAATATCTGTGCCTTTTGTTCAGCCTCACCTCTGTTCATGTGCGCTTTTGCAGCTTGTAAGTGTCTTCCTGTTCTCTTTCCTTCCCTTTCTTTCATGTCATGTTCCTGTCCCATTGGCAGCTCTCAAGTGGTTCTTCTGTGGTGATGTGCAAGGCAAGAGCGCCAAGAGCATGCGGGGTGGGGTGGCGCAAGGGGGTGGACTACCAACAGCTCAACATGTGCCGCTTCTGTGCTTAGCCGTGCTTAGCTCTCCTTTACCATGCTTAGGTGTGCTGTGTTGTGTTGTGCTGTGGTGGGATGGGCTTGCATGTTGTGAAATAGGTGGGTTGGGTGGGAGTCTGGAATGCGCCTGGCCTGGGCACAACACCCAAGCAGGACTGAGAGTCCTCATGCAGGTGTTGTGCCGTGCCATGATGACATGCCCGATGCTGTGGCATGTGGGGGACTAGGCTGCTATGGGCCAAGCCCTCGTTCGCGGCCGAGAAGCACCCACAGTCATGGGGAGAAGCGGAACAGCAGGGCACCCACCCACACACACTATGCAGCATGCATGGAAGTAGGTACAGAACAAGTCCACCAGCTAGCCAGTCAACTAGCCTATCAAAACAGCCGACCAGCCAATAGGCCAACCAGCCAAGCAACCAAGCATCCAGCCAACCAGCAAACCAGCCAGCTAGCCAACATGCCAAGCATGGTAAGTGCCTCCACATGACCTGCTCCTCAACTGAAGCATTCAAACACAGCAATCAATGCCATCTGCAAACGCCAATGCCTGCAAACCACAACCTGGCCTGTTGCAACATCTTCCCCTCAGGCCCCGTAAACTCCCTTAACGAATTAGAATTTAACCTCCTTATCTGAAGTACATATATACACCACCGAACTTTCGAGATGTCTGCTACACCATCCCGTTCCCCTCGCCTCAACGAAGCCCTGGTCGCGGAAAGGCGCTCAATGTTCCGCGGGCCTTCCGCCCTTCCATTCCCCCATGCGTGCGTTCATGCCTCTACTGTCCAGTGCACCTGTTGTCCGCCCATCCCTCCGCCGTCGCAACAGTGTCCCTTCCTCTCCCCCCAGGGTTCGTCGGCACGCGCTGGCTCCGTACCGTTTCAGGTCAACGCTCCCAGGGCTTGGTTTCAATCAACCTTTCTTCAACGTACCCAACCTCGCAGCACCACTCACTTCTTGCCATCTTTCCCTGAGGGGGTGTCCAGTTCGTTCATTTCGGGGTTTTTAGTGCCAACACACGTCTCGAGGTTCAAAAATATTCACTGTACCTAAAAACGAATGCATTGTGAGTTGAGTCCCACCTACATGTAATTTCAGGAGCGCGGACACGTTCTCCGCCACACGAATCAACAGTGCTCTGATCGCGTTCAAAACGAGGTAACTGTTTCCGTCGTCAATCATAGCTAACGAATTTTTGGGCAGGCGGGGGGTGTGTTGACGAGTGTAGCGAGCTACTGGCGAAATTGTGCAAGCGACACAGGGGGCGCTCCTGTAGTGGCCAGGACGCGGTGCTGTACCCTTGTTCGTGTCCCCGCTGATTCCAGTAACGTGAGTCAGACGACATGAGGTACGTGCAGGGGGCGTGCCGTTTTGTGAACGAAAGCTGATTGTGTCCGCAGGACACGTTCAATACAGTGTTACAACAAAAAATGTGGTAACTGAGCGGGCTTACGAACAGTAAATGTACGAGCTGGACACCCCCTGATGAAACACGTTTTCGGTTCCATCAGTCACGCTCGCTCGTACAACCACATCTGTCAACTGATGCTCCTGCAACCACACAAGCTTGGTTTTCTTTCCCTTCCGCGAGCTTCCACTGGTAGAAAATATAGTCAACAGCTAGTGAATTTAGTAATCTCGATAGTTTCTCGCCTATCGGCGCGTCTTTCCCGCCGTCTTTCCTTCATAGTTCACGCGTCATCTCGTAGTCCAGTTTTCGTTCCAGTCTGTGACGTCCCGGCTGTCCCTCCCAGCAGCGAGCCATGGGAGTGGGTCCGTCGTGCGCCGCCGTGTGCTGCACGGCGTGCGCGTGCGAGGCGTGCAGGACCGTCGTCGGAAGCATCAATCGGAGCACGGCGCGTTTCGCCTATGTGGTGCTCTTCGCCTTGTCGCTGCTGCTCTCCTGGCTCGTTCGTGACTACGCTGAACCGCTCCTTACGTTTGCGGAAAGTGCGTTGCTGTTCAGACGTGCCTTGTTCCTCTTATCAATCTCAGATGCTCTTCTTCTGCTTGTTTTTAGATTATTTTCTTGCTTCCTTCGACCTCACGTCTCCGTTCCTTCCCTTCCGTTCCCGCCTCCGCTACGAATCTCCGCTCTCCTCTCCGCGTCCTCATTCCCGACGCGCGACAGAGCTAGACCCGCTGCACGTGATACACGTGCCGGACAGCGCGTGGTTCCAGGAGCAGGCGGTGCTGCGCGTGTCGCTGGGCACGAGCCTCTTCTTCGTGCTGCTCGCGCTGCTGCTCGTCAACGTGCGCAAGGAGTCCGACTACCGCGACGCGTGGCACCACAGCGGCTGGTTCGTGAAGCTCGTCGCGTGGCTGCTGCTGCTCGTCGTCGCCTTCCTCGTGCCGGACTCAGCAGTCTCCTTCTATGGTACGCGCCGGAAAAATCTTTCCTCTGAACTAACGACTCTTGGGCTCAGCCTCTTCCCACCCGCGCCTTCCCACCCCTCCCCTCACCCCTCCCTCTTCCCCCCTCCTTTCCACACCCTCCCGCCCCTCTCCTCTCCGCCGCCACCCTCTCCTCTCCGCCGCCACCCTCTCCTCTCCGCCGCCACCCTCTCCTCTCCGCCGCCACCCTCTCCTCTCCGCCGCCTCCCTCTCCTCCCCGCCGCCTCCCTCTCCTCCCCGCCGCCTCCCTCTCTCCCTTACTCGTGGAACCGTTCGACTCTATTAGCCCACATCCCCGTCTCCTCCTTTTCGCTCGCGCGCAGCTACCTGCATCTACTTACCTCCTCGTCCTTGCGTTTCCCCATGTTCTTCCGCCCTTCCCTCCCCCGTGCAGGCTACGTGAGTCGCGGCGGGTCGTTCATCTTCCTGTTCGTGCAGGCGCTGATTCTCCTCGACTTTGTCTTCGCGTGGAACGACGACTGGGCGTCGCGCGACGAGCACCGATGGTACGTCGCGTGTTGCAACAGCAGCGGTAAGGCAAGATTCTCCGCGTAGGCCGCGCGTGGCTAGCACGGACGGCAAAGGAAGAGCGCGTGTATGCATGCCGTCCGTCCGTCTGGCTCTTCCTTCTGCTCCTTCCGCGTACTCCTTCCTCGCCCAGCCTCGCTCCACTTACCGCTGCCCCCCTCACGCTCCTCCCCTCTCCCGCGTCCCCGCGCCCCCCCTTCCCCCCCGTGTGCTCTATCCTGCCGACCAACAGGTACATGGCGATGCTGGTGGTGTCGATCGGCGCGTACGTGGTGTGTCTGGCGCTGCTGATCGTGCTGGCCGTGTGGTTCGTGCCCAACAGTGACACGTGTCAGACCAACCAGCTCATCCTCTTCTTCTCCGGCATCCTCATCGTTGGCCTCACCGCTGTCTCCCTGCACAACAAGGTGTGCAGCACAGCCTGCCGCCCTCAAGCCCCGCCGTACCTTGCCTCTCGACTTCTTGCCTCACACTTTCCGTGCCCTTTGTTCTCCCACCCCTTTCCTCTTTCCCCGTCCCCACTCCCCTTTTCCCTCCCTTCCCCACCTCCATCCCTCCTTCCCTCGCTTTCCCGTTTTCGCCATTCGACATCATCAACTCTCTTCCCCGAATTACATCGTCCGACCGACCTCACCTCGCATCACTCTTCCCTTCCCTACTCGCCTCCCTTCCCCCCACATTCCCTCCGTTCCCACACCCCCCTTCCCCCGTCGCCCTTCTTGTTCCCCCCGTCCCTCTCCTCCCTCGGGTGCAGGTGAACGGCAGTCTGCTACCGGCGTCCATCATCTCAGTCTACAGCGTGTACGTGGCGGCCACGGCGCTCTGCTCTGAGCCGCGCGACTACGAGTGCAACGGCCTCGCACCGCACCTCAACTCCCTCTCCTCCACGCGCCTCGCTCTCTCCATGCTCGGCGCGCTGCTCTCTGTTGCCTACTCTGCTCTCCGGGCTGGCTCCTCCACTGCACTGCTCTCACCGCCCGATGATGACCAGGGTATGGCCACGTCTCTTGACCTTTCTCTCTCTGTGCTGCTGCGTAGCAGCTCTTGCCTCTGTGGTGCTGTGACTTAGTTCTGTTGTCTCCTGCTCCCAAACAGAGTTGAGTCGTTCCTCCTGCCCCTGTTTCTTCCTTCCTCTCCAACCGTGCACTTACACTCTCGCCCCTTTCTCCCATCCTGCTCTGCCCCTCTCCCCCCCCCCCACACTCCTCAGAGCTGGAGCACCCACTGCTCCCCACAACTGTCGACTCCGACGCCTCCAAGCCCGACAGCTCCCCCTCTACCACCACCTCCGCAAGCGACGCGGCAGCAAACCAACCTGTGGCATACAACTACTCCTTCTTCCACCTCATCTTTGCGCTCGCTGCTGCCTACTCCGCCATGCTGCTCACGGGGTGGGGCGTGGGGTCGTCGGCGCAGGCAGCGGGCGGGGGCGAGGCCGAGTATCTCATTGACGTGGGCTGGGGGTCCGTGTCGGTGAAGCTGCTGCAGCAGTGGGGCACTGCGCTGCTCTATGTCTGGGCACTTGTGGCGCCGCTGCTCTTCCCCGACCGTGACTTTTCGTAGAACATCTCTCGCTCTACACGTACCGCATGGTGTATGGAGTGCCCGTTCTTTACTTAGGCTCAGAGGTTTTTGGCAGACGCATCTGAAGCACAAACCTGTCCCATGGGCCATGGCTGCTGACGTGTAAATTTGTCCACAAACCACAACCGTTGCGGTATCGGTTTTGTCACTAGTGTTTGGAAGTTTATTTAGCGCATGTGCTCATACCAGAAATGCATCTAGTGGTATATTTGTCTGAGCTTTGGCGTTTCTCCTCATAATCCCTTGCACTCAATACAGCATCCTCATACCGGTAGGCAATTAACCTTTGCTGGAGGAGCTCCAACTCCACTTGAAAACAGAGAATTTCTGTGAGTACAACTTCCACCAGCAGAATCCTAAACATGACAGGTACTGTACCAGCAGTGACCCACAAAAACTGATGGAAGCTTCCCAGCATCAGAGGCTGTAACCCTGTGAAGAAGTTGCTCGTACGGCTTAACCCTACACAGCTGCCTTCTTGTAAATCGTCTCTGTGCGGCATGCGTGCTGTGCAGCAAAGCGAGCAGCCGTGAAGAGGAAGTCACTGAGGCGGTTCACAAAGCGCATCACCGTGGGGTCTATGCGCGGCAGAGGGGGCTCAGAGTCTGGTGCGGTGGCACCGCCTTCCTGTGCCTCGTGTGCTTCCTGCTGCTGCTGCTCCTCATCCTCTGCTGCCACGGCGATCACAGCGCGCTCTGCCCGCCTGCAAATGGACCGTGCCAGGTGCAAATGCGCTGCTGCCATGCCACCTGGGAGGGATGCATGGGGGAGGGAAGAGTGAGGAACAAGTGAGAAAAACAACCGTGGCACCAGGGGGCACAAAAGGGTGGGGTGTGCATAACCGGGTCTCAAACACAGACTCAATCGACCCAAGTACAGTGCACAGCCAGGCCCCTGACATATAACGTTCCCATCCCCTCTCCTCTCCTCTCCTCTCCTCCCCTTCCTCTGAATATCAACCCAACAAGCAGCAAGCATGCCAGCCACGTGGCGGCGAGCACGGGGCAGGAGGGCACCTGAGGGGAGGATGAAGGCGGTGAGCGGCGGCAGCTTCTCGTCCAGCGAGTCGATCCAGAGCTCCAGCGTGTCCACCGCCGTCGGATCGAACCGCACGCGCTGCAGCTTCGCGGCGGATGCGGACGACGGCGGCGTGGCGACGACGGACCCCACGTCGAGCAGCCGCGACTGGATGACCGCGATCTGCGGGGTGGAGTGGGGTGGGGGGCGGGGGAGAGACGGGAAGGAAGGGTTGAGAGGAATTGAACGACAGGAAGAGACATGGAAGGAGAAACGGGGGCAATTAGGAGGAGAGAGGGGTGGAAGTCTCAAGGAATTGGCCAAGGACACGAAAAGACGCGAGGCGAGGCATCTCGATAGCCGGTAGCACTTTTCAAGCCTACAATTCCAATCAAACCCTACTTATGTAGGAATTCAGCGCGACAAAGTTACTCTTGACATGCTGCATGTGCTATGCGACATGCGACACAAGTGGGCTTACGTCGCACGCGTCGCAGAACTGACCTGGTCGCAGAGCTCCTTGAGGCCCTGCACGCGGCAGTACTCCGCCGCCACGGCCAGCGCGCTGTTGAGCTCGTCCACGTCACCCAGCGCGCTGAACACGTGGTCGTCTTTGCGCCGCCGCTCGCCCGTGTACAGCGACGACGTGCCCTTGTCGCCCGTCCTCGTGTACACGCGCGCGCGGTGCCGCTTCTCCGCGGGTTTCACACCGCCGGAACCCTCGCCGGCGCCGCCGCTGCCGCCGGTAGACTCTGCAGCAGTCGCAGGGGCGGATTTGGGACCCGACGCGGGAGCAAGTGCCTTCTTGGCAGCGGAAGTGTGGAAATTCTCCGACGAGACTGCGGCGGCTTTTCCCGCTGCTGACGTCAGCACGGGGGCGTCGCACGCGCGATTAGCGAACGCCGGCGACGCCGAGAGAGGGTCAGCGTGGGGGGCTGCGAGGACCTCCATAGCTCGAACGGATGGGATTCGAACAGCACTAGCAGACGCAGCCGCTGCAGGCAGCAGGAATTCGCCGGCGCGTTTGACGGAGAAGGGTATGGGGTTAGGGGATGCTAGTCGTTGTGAGGTAATAGAAGCGGTGGCGAGGGTTGTGTAGGATGCGGGAGCGACGAATGGCGAGATTATTGGTGAGGGCGACGGAAATGAGAGCTGCTCGCTGGACTGGATGCGACGATATGCTCCCCTCGCTATGCGAGTGACGCAGCTGGTGAAAGGCGATCGCATAATCCGACAGTCGAGCGGATAAGCCGAGATGATCTCGTCGACAGCCGATGGAAACGCGAAGAGTGATGGACCCTCCGCTGCGGATAAGGATTACCACCAAGCACTGAGGCTCCTCCACTCCACAGCGCGTAGCACGCGCAGCGAGCTCACGTGACAAGGAAAGCTGCTCCTGGAGGGAGAGAGCACGCGAGGGGAAAATGAGAATGGGTTTGTGGTGGAGTGACGAGGCGTGGAGTGGAAGGAAGTAAATTTGCTGGGCCAAAAGGCTAACCGTCGCAGGAGGTTGGGGATGTGAGTGATTCGCATAGGTTTCCGCAGTCGCAGAAACTGTGCGACGGCCTTTGGTGCACTCAGCATCCAGATTCGTGAGGTGGTGGACGACGGGGCGAAGAATATGGACGGCTGGACGACTTCGTGCGACTTTCGGCAGGCAGCCTTTTCGCAAGTTTGCGGCTGGCCTGCGTTGCAGGTAATCCAGTCAGCGGTGACAGGCAGGAGGTGTGGTTCGGTACTTTAGCAGCCGAGCTGTGGTGTGGCTCGGACGCTGGTTCGGAGACCCGCGTGCCGACGTGTTCGTTCGAGAGAGGCAGCAGGCAAGCAACCATTCATTCACCCGCCTTGATTCCCTCGTTCGTACACCCAGGACTAGGTCGAAAAGCAAGTATGAACAGCTTCGCCGTTTTTCTTCCCGAACTGAAGCACTCAGAAACGCGGATTAACTCCATCCATGGACAGAACCGAACCCTCGATACTAGATACACGCGAGCCCAGTCAGATGCAAGCATCCCGACGGATCTCGACTCTGACTGCGAGGGCCGATTCGGCGTGGCACCTTCGTCAACCTGACACCTCCTTGGGGATGGGAGGGGTCACTCTGGCCTGTGCTGTGTGGCAGGGGATGGGTTTTGCTTCCACACGCGGCTCCTCGCTCCCCTCCCTGCCTGTTTCCCTTGTCTTTCCCCTGTCCCTCTGTCGGCTGCCCTGCTGCTTTCCTTGGCGCGTCCCGCCCAATCTCGTTTGCTCGCTTCACCTGCACGGCTTGTCTTTCTGTCGGCGATCCCTAAACGAGCGTCCCTTCGATCCGACCCGCGATCTGGTGGTTTCCGCCACTGCGAGCTTCGTCGCTCGCTTGTAGGAAGCTACCCTGTAGTTGGTGATGGAGGAAAGGGAGAAAGCGGGTTTTGCGATACGAGATCTAGAAGAGAAGCAGCGGCTATTGCGGGAGCAACTAGGCCAGAGACAGCAGCAGCTCGCGAGTCAGCAATCGCAGTCTCACCAGCCTATCCAGTCCTCGCAATCAGCGCCAGCCGCGCAGAGCTATCAAATACTGGATCGAGACGCTAGTGGCGGTTCGACTGTGCCACGTGTACATCAGCAGCAGCAGCAACAGGGGGTTCCTCCCACCCCGCTAAATCAGCAAGCTTCACGATCCCAGTCGAATCAATCCCAACCGTCGCATAGGCCGCCGTCCCCGTCCCACTCCACCAAGCAACAGCAACAGCGGCTCGACATGTGGGACCAACGCAAGCCGCTCCTCGTTCTTGGCGGCGTCGCCATCGCGACGGCGCTCGCGTGCTACTTTCTCCCCTCGTCTCTCCGCCCAATCATCTTCGCCGCCGCCGCCCTAGCCGTCACGCAGCTCCTCTCTTCCCCGTCCTCGGAAGACGACAAATCCGCAGCGGGTGCCGCCGGCGGATCTGGGAGGGGCGGGCTCGCACCGCTTCCCCCGCCGGCAATTCCGCTGATCAAGTCCAGCTCTTCCCCGCCCCTTGGGTCGCTTCAGGAGAAATCTGCATTGGCGGGGGCTCTCGACACGGGCGCCGCGGCTGCGGACGCTTCCGCGGGCGCGCAGCCGGCGGGGGAAGCGGCTGTTCCGCCAGCATTTGCAACTACGGCAGCCGCGCCGTCTGCAGCCGCCGCACCGGCAGCTTCTGCGCCAGCAGCAGCAGCCGTTTCTGCGGGGAAGCCAACGGCGGAAGCCGCCGCTGACGGCGGGGATGCCGCGGGGGATGGTACGGCTGCGTACCTTGCCTCGCAGGGGATCTCCCCCGGCGCTAGAGCCATGGCGGCCGCAATGAAGGCGAAGGCGACGCGCGCCGCCGCCCGCGCTGCAGCTGCGCCCATCACGGTCGCGGAAGGCACGGCGGAGGGACCGAAGAGTAAGCTGCACTAATCTGGCAGCGTGTTGTATAATTTGTCGGATGGCCTATGGCACAGTATAGTTTCACGTGGAACGTAATTCTTCTCGTGCTTCTCCTCACCGCCGTTCCTCTCTCCAGCTTTCCGTTCCTGGTGGTCGTATTGCCTCGTTGCCCTTCCCATGCCCTCACCTCATCCGAACCCTATACCCTGAACCTCCGCACTCGTTCCCTCGTAAAATCCTCCCTTTTTTTTAGATAGTGGCGTTCGTCCCTTGTGCTCGCGTGGCGCCATGGTGGCATGTGGTGTGACATCGCGTGGCGTGTCGTGGTGTGGTGTGGCGTGGCGTGGTGTGGTGCGGTGTGGTGTGGATCGGTGTGGTGTGGTGCGGTGTGGTACGCAGGGCCGGAGGGCATGGTGGTGCTGTACGGGTCGCAGACGGGCAACGCGATGGAGATCGCCAAGACCATCAACGCGGAGGCGCAGCAGCGCGGCCTGCCCTCGCACGTGCACGCGCTCAACGACTACTCACTGGTACGCGCGCGCGCACGCTGGCGGAGAGAGGGCCGAGGTGGAGGGGGAGGTGGGGAGTGGGATGGTGGGGGGGAAAGGGAGGGAAGGGGAGAAAGGGAGAAGTATAGGAGGGAGGAGGAAGGGGGTGAGGGACTGGAAAGTTGTGGATGGTGTGACACGGGCTGCCGTTTAATACTGCGTCTCATTTCTTACCCCTCATCACCCCAACCCCACCTCGCCCCCCCCCCCCACCCCCCCCCCCCACCCCCCCCCCCTCTCTCTTCCCTTCCCCCTGTTCCCCATGTTCCTCCGTCACCTCGGTCCCCGTCCTCCTCCTGCGTGGCGGCGAGCAGGAGAAGCTGCGCGCGGTGGCGGTGGCGGTGGTGGTGGTGTCCAGCACGGGCGACGGCGACCCCCCTGAGAACTGCGACCGCTTCATCGGCGCGCTGCAGCGCCGCTCGCTCTCGCCCTCGCTGCTCTCGCACCTCAAATACACTGTCTGCGGTGCGCGCTCGCAAGCAGCCCCTCATGCTCTGGCCATAGCATCGGCTACACACCACACACGTCACACAGGCGCACACTACCACGCACCACACCACTGCATTTTCGCCATATTGATACTCTTCTCTCCTCGACTTCCCTCTTCTCTTCTCTCCTCGACTTCCCTCTTCTCTTCTCTCCTCGACTTCCCTCTTCTCTTCTCTCCTCTCCTCTCCTCTCCTCTCCTCTCCTCTCCTCTCCTCTCCTCTCCTCTCCTCCCCATTATCGCACAACTCTCACCGTCCCACCCGCCCCTCCCATCCCCTGCCCCTGCGCGCGCCACCAGGGCTGGGAGACAGCAACTACACGCGCTACATGGCGGTGCCAAGAGTGTTCTCGCGCCGCCTGCCAGAGCTCGGCGCGCATCTGCTGTGCAAGTGCTGCGAGGCGGACGAGGTGGACGGGTGAGCGCTTGCTATGAGTGCCCATGCCATGTGCTGTGTGCTGACCGCATGCATTTACGGTCTCGCCTCCTCTCCTCTCTCACCAGTTGATCCATTCGCACCCCGATCTCTCTTTCTCTCTCCTTTCGCTGCACGTGTCTGCCTCGGGCCTCCTTTGTGCACGTCGCCCACTCACTCTTCCCTCTTTTCCCTCGCTTTCCTCCCCTCGCTCCCCTGCCCCCGCATCTCTCGCCTCGCGTCCTCTCCCTCCGCCATGACACCAGTCTGGAGGAAGTGGTGGAGGCATGGACGGGCACCATATGGGGCCCCATTCAGGACGCACTAGCCGCGCCGGCACCACTGCCATCCGCAGAGGAGGAGGTGGGGCAGAAGGCGGGGCAGGGCGCGCAGGGGCAGGGGCAGGGGCAGCAGGAGGAAGAGGTGAAGCTGGTGGGAGTGCCTCCCCTGCAGGCGTGCCGCGTTCGCCTTGTCTGGCTCGATGGGGAAAAGCCTGACATTGACACCGCCACCTCCACTGCTGCTGCTGCTGCTGCTGCAACACCCCCGTTCTCCCACTCCAACCCGCTGCGTGCGCCAGTGGTGGCAGCTCGGTTCCTGTCTGCAGAATGGTCGGACCGAGTGGTGGTACACGCGGAGGTGGATGTATCCACTGCCTTGCACGCCGGGGTGAGCATAGCCGCGGGCGACAGCGTGGGCGTTGTACCCAGTAACGACGCTGCTATGGTGGAGCAGCTGCTGGCGAGGCTGGGGGTGGATGGAGAGAGAGTCTTCTCCCTGGTTGATGCTGAGAGCACTGAGGGTGGTGCCAGTGCTGTGAATGCTGGGAGTGGTGCTGTGGCAAGGGCAGCAGCTGCGAGCAGTCGCGACGGGGGCCACATCCCGGTGCGGTGCACGCTACGCCACGCGCTGCTGCACTGCTGCGACGTCAAGGGCACGCCCAAGAAGGGGCTCCTGCGCATTCTGGCCGACTACTGCAGCGACCGTAGGGAGCAGCAGCGCCTGCTCTTCCTCTCCTCGCGCGGCGGCAAGGACGCGTATAAGGAACTGGTCATGGAGCGCCGGCCGAGTCTGTTAGAGCTGCTGCGGGCGTTCCCGTCATGCCAGCCGGATCTGGCTCATCTGCTGGAT